GAGACAGGGTCTCTGTCATCCAGGCTGGGAGTACAGTGGCATCATCGTAGCTCACCACAGCCTCAAACTCCTGGACTCAAGCAATCATCCTGCCTCAGCTTCCCAAGTAGCTGGGACTACAGGTGTGCACCACGCCTGGCTAATTTTTTTATTTTTTGTAGAAACAGGGTCTGGCTATGTTTCTCAGGGTGATCAAAAACTCCTGGCCTCAAAGGATCCTCCCACCTCAGCCTCCCGAAGTGCTGGGATTACAGGCGTGAACCACCATGCCCAACCTATATTTAGACCTTTAATCCATATGAAATTTGCTTGTTAGTATGGTATCTTGGGATACTAAATTACAGTTATATATAAAATACGCATCATGCTATTCACAACACATATGATCAAGCTGATTAACTGTGTTCTTTTGGCCCTTTTTCTTCAAGACTGAAAGTCTGAACTGTGAGTGCAAGGATGGACCCAGGTGGCTGGGTGGCTGCGGTTTCCACAGACCACTGAGCCCAGGGTTGACAGCAGCAGCGCTGCAGCCCATCTTCTCTGATTCTCCTGTGTTACTTTTCCCACCAGAAAGGGTCCACGTTTATGAAAATAAAAAGGAAGCATTGCAAGCTGTCAAAATGATCAAAGGGTCCCGATTTAAAGCTTTTTCAACCAGAGAAGACGCTGAGAAGTTCGCTAGGGGAGTTTGTGATTATTTCCCTTCTCCAAGCAAAACCTCGCTCCCACTTTCTCCTGTGAAAACAGCACCACTCTTTAGCAATGGTGAGTTGAAAGGTAAATTATATGCAGTTCACATCTTGCCGTTACTGTCAGATTTGCCCCGGACTATCTTGTGCCCTCTTCCTGATACATGGTCACGCGTTTTCTCCATGAGGGTAGAGGGGATGGGGGCTGAGTGGACCAGGAAGCCACTCGGACCCTGAGCTGACATGCCAGTACTTAGCATCTTAACTGTGGAGAATTGCTGAAGGGAACACCGTTGTCCTTCATCTGTCCCCTTGTCTCTCCTGCTGCCTGTTGGATTCTGGGTCTTTTTTTGATACTGAGACCAGTCTGCTTCCCCACCTGAAGCTATACCCGCTTCTGGGACTGGGGCAGCTACGAAAGTTAGGCTCACCTACAGGAGCCGTCCAACCAGAAACCTGGCCACACCCACCGCCCAGCTCAGGGCCAAGATCTTGTTTGCAGAGGCCACTGGTAGTCAGCTTCACGCAGAGCCCCGCCTTCCCCCCCCCCACAACTGTCCAGCTTCCCCAGCTGGCTGGGCTCCGGGCGGGGGCACCCTCTCCCGCACACCTGGCCTTCAGTGAAGAATCCTGTCTGCCTGTTCCCTCACTCAGCCTCATACAGCTGCTTCCTGCACAGAAACCAGAATGGTTCCTAACGGCTCACAGATTTCTTTCTCTGCAGTCTGAAAGTTCCCCTCGTGCGAATCACGTGTAGAACATTCCCCCTCTCGGGGGTATCCCCTGCGCACCGAGGGCCGTGCATGGTTGCTGGCGGTGTTCCCTTGGCTGCAGCTGCCCTGTTCTTCCTCCACCTGCCGAAAGCTGACTTAGCTTTCAGAGTTCACCAAATGGCACCTCATTCACAAAGCCTTTCCCAGGCAGATCCTAGTGGGGTCTGGGTGCGCCCCAGCCTGCCTGCTGGTAGCGGACTGTGGGCTGCTCGTGCTGCTCTTCCTTACCTGTTTCTCCCAAGTGGCTTGGACGCTTCTGCAGAAAAGCTGTTTATCCTCTCAGCATAGCACAGAGGAGGTGATGAGAAACTGTTTGTGAAATTAAGTGTTTTTAAATTCTGTCTCTTAATGACAGATGGTTTGTGCTTGTCTGAGTCAGAAACGGCAAACAAGGAGCGAGCGAACAGTTATAAAAATCCCCGTACGCAGGACCTCACTGCCAAGCTTCGGAAAGCTGTGGAGAAGGGAGAAGAAGATGCCTTTTGCGATCTCGTCTGGAGTAATCCCCGGTATCTGATCGGTTCAGGAGACAACCCGACCATCGTGCAGGTGAGCCTGCTTTGAGCTGTGCGAGTGCCTTGCGATCACTGTACTTGGGACAGAATTGGACTGTGTGTACCGAAAATGAGGCTCAAAGCGTGCCCTTTCTTTCAGGAGGGATGCAGGTACAATGTCATGCACGTTGCTGCCAAAGAGAATCAGGCCTCCATCTGCCAGCTGACCGTAGCCACCCTGGAAAACCCTGACTTCATGCGGCTGATGTACCCCGACGACGATGCGGCCATGCTGCAGAAGCGGATCTGCTACATCGTCGACCTCTACCTCAACACGCCCGACAGGATGGTGTGTTTCCTGCCCCGCCTGCTCTCGGTGATAGGAGTCGTAGCCTGTTTTCTAGTCGGAACAGTTTGTGTTCCCCGTAGAGCATCTCCGTCAGTGTGTGAGACACGTGGCGAAGGTTGGAGAAGAGAAGCACCGGTTTGCACTGGTGCAGTCGGGCCGCCTGCGGGACGTCCACGTGCGGGGCCTGAGAGGCAGCTGGCTCCACGGCCTCGGCTCAGGGTGGCTGTCGGCCATCGGGCCCGCTGGTCTGTAGGCGGCAGCGGAAGTGACCCGGGAACTGCCCAGAGAGTGAGGAAGGGTCAGAGGTGCACCAGGGGGAAGTCAGGGCACGAGGAAGTGTTGTGGAGTACAGTGACCTAAAGCCAGGGGTGAAGAGAGCTTCACTTGTTGGGATGTCAGCCGCTAGAGAGACTTTTCTCTGAGTACAGGCCAAACTTAGGGGTTCGTTTTTTTGTGGATGTTGCCGTCATCTGTTTATCGTGACGTTGTACAGGGCCCTGAAGGATGACAGCTGGGTCGCTGTTGACTGGGCGCGTGTCAGGCCCCAGTTCGACTGTGAGCTCCTCGCAGGGCCCAGGCGCCAGGCACCACTCAGTGGCGACGGCAGCATGCCGAGCTCCAGTGTTGGCGTGAGGTGGACGTGTGCCGGCATGCCAGCTACTTTTCAGTTATAAAAGCAATGTCTTTTATGGTCTTTTTTGTTTTTGAGGCTTTTTTAAAAAAAATAAATACCGGCTAGGTGAGGTGGCTTACACCCGTAATCCTAGCACTTTGGGAGACTAGAGGATCGCTTGAGGCCAGGAGCTGGAGGCTGCAGTGAGCTGTGATGACATCACTGCACTCCAGCCTGGGCATCAGAGCAAGACGCTGTCTCCAAGATAAATAAATAAATACCTGTGTTCACTTCACCGTAGAGTGACCTTATGCGACAAAGAAGTGTAATTAATCATGCTTCTTCTGCACCTTTTTCAGGGCAACGACACGCCATTGCACTTTGCTTGTAAGTTTGGGAATGCAGATGTGGTCAACGTGCTTTCTTCCCACCATTTGACCGTAAAAAACCCAAGGAATAAATACGATAAAACACCTGAAGATGTAAGTACTCATTGAAATTCAACTACTCTCCAGAGTTAGCAATGGAAATATATACGTTTACAGTCCGTGGTCACTGCTACAGTGGAGTCACGAGTGAGTGCGTGAGTTGTTTGCCTCGAGGGCGTGCGAGCACTGGTGGCCGAGCGGCGGGCACACGGCGAGGGTGACGCCTCTCGGGAGCCAGGAGGGGATGAACTGACTTGGTTTCTTTTTTTCTTTTTTCTTTTGATAATGTTGGTACCAATGAGCCAATTTGCTAATTTTATTTTCCTAAAACTGGCAGTCAGTTGTTCTGAACAGCTCACAGTCTTTCATCGAGTCTGAAACGCATCAATTGACCAGGGTCAGGGAGCACAGAGACGATGGTGGTGACTCTCAAAGCAGCTCAGTGTGCGCCAGGCCCCTCCAATGTGCTGTCACCCAACCCAGACAAGCCCCACGTGATCCTTAGCGATCGCGCAAACTGCACCTTAGAGAGGGCAGAGGTGTGTCCGTTCTGTGCCTGGGAAGCAGAAGAGGGACCTGGACCTGGGGCTTGAAAGGCTGGTTGGGTTTGTGCTGTGTCCTGGAGCAGGTCGCTGACTGGACCTGTCACCCCTTTGGAAGCAGAACCTACAAGGCCCCTTTTCTGGTGGCAGTGGCTTCTCCCACACCCTTGTAGTTGCCACTGTTACATAAGCAATGCCCACTTCCTGTAGAAAGTTTAAAATAACCCATAAAAAAAGAGTAAAAATTTACCAGAAAATTCTGCAATTGAGAAATTGCCATTGTTTTGCATAGGTATGACTTAATTCTGTGTGTTTTTCATTATAAAATGCTATTTGGTAACCAACTTTAAAGCTCATGGCATTTTTAAAGCACTTCAACTCACAGTCAGTTACAGACTGAAAAAAAGCTGCACTCGGGTGTCGCTCTCACAGGCCGTTTCCTTTCTTTTCCGCTTACGTGAAGGTTGTTGGTTTTCTGTTGATTCTAGCAAAATTGTTCTTACTGCTACGATTCTCCAAGGGCTGAGAAAATTGATCCCAGTACTTGCAAAAACTTAACGTCTGTGTTCCGTGGGAGACAGGAGCTCCGCTGGCCCGGTGCACAGCCACAGGAAGGTCACGCAGGGAGAACGGGCTCCCGGGCAGTGCACTCGGACAGCTGAGAAACCATGACCACGTCCACACGCATCTGCTCCGCCTGCAGCCTGAACTTTTAAGTTTTCCTTTCCTTGCAGAAAATTGCAAAATGTAGAATCACGAAGAGAAAGAGTAAAGGTAGCCCTGGTCCCAGAGTGTGCTCTCGCCCTGTCCCCTTAGGCTTTGACACAGACGTTTTAGGAGACAGAGTGTTCTCTTAAGCACACGTTTTACGTTTTGCGGGAGGTTTATTAAACTTCCGCATGAAGATACTGTCTTGTTGACTGTAAAACTTGCTTTTATAAAATCACTGTAATGAAGGAAATGTTGCAATAAAATAAGATTTAGACACTTTTTTTCCAATAGGTAATTTGTGAAAGAAGCAAAAATAAATCTGTGGAACTGAAGGAGCGGATCAGAGAATATTTAAAGGGTAAGACGGGATCAGGGTGTTGCCGTGCACGCCCGCGCCTTGTGCTCTGGGCCGCGCAGCAGAGCTCTGAGAGCCCTTCAGTCCCTTGGAAACCTCTCCTTGGCAACCCTTTTCTTCCCTGAGTTCGTTTCCCTCCTGTTTTCACATAACTCGGCTCTGGAGTCCTGTGTCCGTCCTTGGAGCCTTTCTGGGGGAGAACCTTGTTTGAGGTTGTCTGTTGTCAGCTGTTGCTCACGCCTCACCCCGTGTGACCCGTGTGATCTGTGCAGGTCTCTCCCAGCAGGTTCTCTGTGATCACCTCCTTCCGGTAGAGCCTGCAGGTTGGCAAAGGGCAGCGCTGGGCAGGGTTTGGCTCTTGTTTGTGTCCTTCTGTGCTCCTTGGCTGGTGCCTGGGGCGGCTCCTCCCCCAGCTCTCCAGGACAGCCCCCACCCCTGCAGAGGCTTCCGGATCTGTCTGTCGCTAGCTGGGGCAGCCCTTCCTGCCCTCTCTGAGCCCCCTGCTCTGGTCAGAAGCTTCACGTAGTTGGCACCTGTGCCTCATGGTCCATGGGCACCCCGCCTGTGACGATGGCTGTGTCCAGGAGGGGCTTCTCCCTGCCACCTTCCTGAGTGTTGTTTTCAGCACATTTCAGAAGATGGTAGAAAGGAGCCTTCTCTTTGCCGTCTTTAGCCAGAGGTCTGGTGGTTCTGTTTGCTGGACGCGATGGCGGCAGACGCTCGAAGCTCTTGGGCTCTGCTGTGTGGCCTGTGTTTCCTTCTCTGTTCCTACCCAAGCTCCACTGGTCTTCGTTTAAAGCAGACTCAACAGATACGACTGCCCAGCTCCCGCCTGCTTTCGTGAATAAAGCGTTAGTGGTGCACAGCTGTGACCGTCCGTTTGCACGCTGCATCTGGGCACTTTCCTGGTACAGAGACTGTATGGCCCACAGAGCCCAGTTGTTTACTACCTGGCCTGTTATAGAAGAAGTTTGCTGACCCCTGATCTAAAGTATCCAGAGCCTTCACTTGTTCCCTGATCTCGTCCAGTCTTAGGAATTTATGTTAATTATACTTCCTAAGTGTGCGTGATACGCACAGGACGTGGGTCCCAGCATTGTGCTGGTGGCGGCAGGGATGTCCTCCTCAGGGCAATGTAGGCATCGCTTCCAGAGACCTGGCTTAGGCCGGGCACAGTGGCTCACACCTGTAATCCCAGCACTCTGGGAGGCCCAGGCAGGAGGATCGCTTGAGCTCAGGAGTTCCAGACCAGCCTGAGCAAGAGTGAGACTCCATCTCTACTAAAAACAGAAAAATGAGCCAGGCATGGTGGTGCGTGCCTGTAGGCCCAGCTACTCGGGAGGC